CTTGTTTGCCAGAATTATATGCTTCAGTTTATGGTCACACTTACCCTTTTTAAAGTACAAAATTATTTAACTTTGGATCTTTTTTTTTTTTTACTTTTATGTCGCATTTGTATGTCTTTTGACAGGGGCTTAATCCTTTGGTTCAGATTTAGAAATCGTAAAAAATATTGGACAGACTGCTATGAAATTCAGTATAGCCATTCATGTTCCCCACAAGATGAACTGTCTTTCTGCTGATCTCATGAGTACATCTAGCACCATAATCAGGTTAGAATTTCTTCAATATTTTGGTTATGACCAAATACCTGCAAAACTAAAGACATTCTCATCAGCCTCAGCTGTACTTTGTGTTTACTTATAATCAGCCAATGTTAGCATTTGCTACAAAGCTGAATTACAAAAGTGATTATGGAAAACATCACATAACAAACAGGTGTACATATATACAGTACGTATAAGAGAATAAATCTGTATATTCTAGTTATTCCATACCCGTTGAACATGGTCCCACTAAGATGTCAATACAATGCAAGCCTGAGCTCAAAGTTTATACGAGCACCTTAGTGATTTTATAGCTACTTGAAACACAAGAGAATAATTTCTTGTGGTGTGTGTGTGCCAGTATGTGTGTTTATGTAACACTACTTCCATAATGTCAAGCTTGTTACCTTTCCTAGCCCCCATAGATGGAGCAGAGCTGGTAGATGAAAACTGTGATAACTCTTGAGGGGCCTGGCACAGCCACCAAGCCGCCACAATGCCTCATACACTTTGGCATGGTTTTCAGGTGAATTTGGCATTAGCTCAGAGTAACTGGGCTGTCGGTGAGGGATTTATGTGTGGACTGCATGTTTCCAGCTTTAACAGACATCATACTGCCACACAGAGTAAAGAAATAATCAGCTGAGCTTGGCTCAAATGGATGTCCCAGTCCCTTTTTTGCCCTCACTGCAAGTCTTTGAATATTGAATATCTGAATCTACCAAGTCCAAAACCCATATTCATCAACAAATTAAATATTAAAATATGAAAGAGTTTAAATTCATTGCCACTATAATCTAATATACCTGAATTAGGTAAGAATGTTTGAAAGAATGTAGCCTTCTCTGTCACAGTTTTGAAATAATGCAGTGGAAAAAAACAGCTCATCCTGCATACACAATGGACACTACCTGTAATCACTTTCCTTTTAAAATGTTCATCTTAATTTAAATGTTCTGAATTTCACGAGGGATATCGATATTGATCCTAGATATTGAGGATATTGGATTGCTAGATTAGTATGTACAAATGTAAAGGCTCTGTATTTATATAGCGCTTTTCTAATCTTCCGACCACTGAAAACACTAGATTGCAATCCCCTATTCACCCACATTCATACACTGAGCCTAATTGCTCAAACAGAACTAACACCCATACACATTCATACACCGATGGAACAGCCATCTAGGGCAATTCGGTGTTCAGTGCCTTGCCCAAGAACACTTTGGAGCCTGGAGGAACCGTGGACAACTCGCTCTACCTCCTGAGCAACAGCCGCCCCTAATGTAAATTTAAACAGCAAAATGCAAATATGAGATTGCTAAGCTATGTACAGTATGAAATGTATAGACAACTATTCTAAATCTGAAAAAAACATAATAATTTGTTTACCTTCAATATACAAGGTGAATGTCAGCTCACCTGTGTTTTGTACCTGAGCATGAGATGTTGCTACTGTTAGCATTAGCTGTATTTGTAGCTGTATTTGAGGCATCATTGTAACTGGGAGATCACTTCAGATTCACGCCATGTTGAAGTAAAAGTAATCAAATTGGAGTTGCTTCCTCCCTTGCACTAAATCTCCTTACTGAATTTTGCTGTGTGGTTCTCTGTTTTAGTGAAGCTAAGCCAAACTTTGGAGCGCTTGCTGCGGACCGCCATGGTCCCAGAATAGAAACTCTCTTCTCGTATGGTTTGTTAACGTACTGAGTAATAAATGACGTATCGTTATGTAGCAGATCCTGGCAGATAAGTGAGACTTCTAAGGACTGCTAGATGCTCACTGCAGAGCATCACTGAAATATGCACAAATCTTAACAAATCCACGGTTCTTGGATGTCTTTTCCCTTTATCGTACCACAATGAGGAATTTAGCTTTTCCTTATTTTGGAGGATGTCAGGATTGTTCCAAATTGGAGTAAGTCTGCATGGGATATGTGAAGACCAAAATATTTTGAGAAATTCCCACCAGGCTGCCAGGGAAGTTCTTATGTTAATACTTTTATAGAAGGTATAATGTTAGATACTGCAGCTGATGAATGGCATATTGGAAATTTTAATTACCTTACAAAATTTTTATTTTATGTCCATGCATTAGTGGTCCTTTGAGCTCTGATTGATCCTTTTTGAGATGTATTATAGTCTGTTGGCCAGGAAGTAATGAAAAAAAAAATTGTACCAACATAATCTTTTGTTTTTGAACTGATTTGTGGCGCTTTATTTTTCCATAAAAATTTAGAGACCAGCTTGAGTCCAGCGACTTAAACCAGACAGCAGTAGGTTGGGTGGTTATCATTAAAAATGGGTAATTGATTTTGGGCAGGACCATCATTTTATTGGTGGCGACTCCATGAGTGATATGGGCAATGTCGTCCATCGCACGAGGTCATCCTCTGTTGATTTAGGTAGAGGTGTATACTTGAAACTAGCCATTTCAGTTCTTACTGCCTGGAGGAAAAACTGACACCCAGAAATTTAATATTCCCTGACTGTAGCAACGTGGTAGATATACTCTGGAAATCATACATTACAGGTAAAGCTATTGGTTTACCAGTTAGTTAGTTCCAAATAATAGAGTAGTCTGAAATTGATGAGAATTTATGTACAGTTAAGTGTGATTGTCTCAGAAAAAGAAGTTTGCGAGTTCACGAGGAGAAGTAAAACATCATCTGCATAAAGACTTATCTTGCGGTGTACATTTTATGACTGAATTCCTTCAATATTTTATTTTGTCTGATAGCAGCTGCTAATGGTTATATAAAAATGGCGAAAAGCAAGGGAGAGTGTGGGCAACCCTGCTTGGTGTCTTGCTGTCTGAAGACCGAAGCTTGGAGAAGTATGATCATTTGTCCTGACAGAAGCTCTTGGGGAACTGTATAATGTTTAAATCCAATTTATAAAGGAGTTCCCAAATCCAAATATATCTTAAAGGTCCAGTGTGTTATATTTCTGAGGATATATCGACAGAAATGCAATATAAGATCCATAACTATATTTTCAGTGGTGTATATATAACCACGGGTCCTCGTACATGGACGTCGCCACTTTGCGTCGTCATGTTTCTACTGTAGCTGAAAACAGACAAACAGCGCTACAGAGTGTGTTTCGTCACTACGTTCTTCTTGTTCTACTTCTGGTAGAATTCAGGCAATGTAGACACTCATCAATTTGTTGAATACATACGTTATTAATAATAATAATAAGAAGAAGAAGTAGTAGTAATAATATACAGCAGGGGTCAGCAAATAAGTTTTGCATCGGAACAATATGTCTATGAAGATTCTCAGTCATCCAGGTCATAGTTATCCAACGAAGGTTAAAATCAAGGGCAACTGGACTTGGTTGAAGATACTGGAAGACGAAACGTCGATATCGGAACAGTAGTTTCAATATTGACTTGCATCATCATGTTGTTAGGTTAGCTCAGTCAGTAAGGTACAGTACTTGAGGGTTGAGTGTTTGATTCCACCTTGGGACAACTTTTTTCTTTCTTCAACAAATGGATTCTGCACCAAATATTGCTCAGATTACAGCATGTGCTGCAGTGTTTGTGTTTCAGTGTTTGATCCACATCCATCAACCATCAACCAATCATTTCTCTGTATCTTTAGGCAGAGAGCATTTAGGGAAATCACGTTTTCTGACGACTCTTTCAGAGATGTGTCAAGCAGGCTACAGACTTTTTTAATGTCGTTCAGAATTTTTCAAAGTAAAAGTTCAGTTCAACCCCAACTACAGTGGTAGACTGTAGAGTTGGTTGCAATTCACAATCTCACCACTAGATGCCACTAACTCTCACACACTGAACCTTTAAGTAGCGAGTAGAAATTTACCCTATTAAACACTTTCTCTGCATCTAAAGAAACCACTGTATGAGTAGGAGATTATTTTACCTTGCATGACTGCTTTTGCTGCCTCCCAAAGAACACACAGTGAAATTCCTGGCAATAGTTTCCATACATATTACCAATTCCTTTTTGATATAACTAATAAATATTTGTCTTTAAGTAATTATGTATTAAGTCTCCAATTTCTAGTTGGTGATTTGACTTTTTTCTTTCTTCAGAGTGATAGAAACCGGTGCATGATCGCTGATAGTGATAGGGTGAATCTGTGTCTGAGATTTCTGTCATAATTGAGCTACTAACCAAAAACTAGACTAGAATATGACTGGTGGACTTGTGAAAAGAAGATGAGAGTCAGGTGGTGAGAACACCAAGCATCGAAATTGGAAAAAGGTCCGAAATTGCTCTTGTATTGTTTAAGGGCGTCTGTTGATTTCTACATACGGTGTCTGCCTGCCGTACTGAGCCTGTCAACTGCTAGATTACATACCAGATTGAAGTCATCTTCTATTAAAAGAGCTGTGTCTGAGTGAGCAGAGAAAGAGGTCAAGAAAGCATGAAAAAAGGAGGGGTCATCAACATTCAGGCCATAGATATTGGCAATGCATAAATCCGTTTTTTGAATAGAAATGTTAACTATAATAAATTGGACTTCTGGATCTATTGTACTGGTATTATTGTTGAAGTGTATTTTTCTGTTTATCATAATGGTGACACCTCTTTGTTTGGAATTATAGCAGGCTGAGTACGAGTAAGGAAACTGTGGTGAGTTTATATGCTGTCGTGGCGAAACGAGTCTCCTGTAGATGAACAATGTCAGCTTGTAGATTATTTAGGTGGTTAAAAAATTCTATTTTCCCTGAAAACCCCATTTTAAAAGTGAGTGAAACCTACTTGTGTCCCAGTTCGTGAGCGATGGTGAAGGCCAAATTGAGTCCATTGTCCTCTGCTAACACACACTTCCTCTTGGCGCTGCAGACTCCGCCCAAATAAGCAATACCTGTAACACAGTGGCACAACATGACACTGAGTTTTATAAATGAGTTACAATTGTGTCGTAATATTTGACACTAACTCATGATTTAATGGAAGACATTGGGTAATATAGTCCTCTTCTCACTTATATTTCTAAGCTGCATGTGGTTGACTACACACTACACCCCACCTGACAACCAGCTAAAACAATCGTAAGTGTTTAGAGGCTAATATGGCTGTCTTTGAGGCTGTACAGTAGAGACCTGCACGGGACTGTTTTCTTGATCCCGCTCCCGCTGATTTTGTGACCATTACTGCCCGCTCCCGCAACATGTGTATCCACTCCCGCCCACACCCGCAAACATTGTGACATATAGGACACAATGTTTGGGCTATGCTAAATGCCCGTGTGACAGAAACCAGCGAGGCTGTGCAGTAAGTAAACCTCACTCCCGACACCTTAGGAGATACTAGCTCGTACCTTGAGATCCTCGGGCAGAGGTCTGCTGTCTGTTCCAGAGTCTCGACTAAAGGGGACAGCATGTTTGCTGTCAGGGCCCCGTGGCTCTGGAACAGCCTGCCCGAGGAAATCAGGTCAGCTGAGTCAGTGAACTATTTACTATTAAGTCCCCTCTTAAAACGTACTTTTATACGAGAGCCTTTCTGGATTTTATTTTATTTTACTTTTTTAAAATATATGTTATATTTTTCTTAAACGTGTATTCTAGTCTTATAAGTGTTTTCTTGTTTTTAGCATGCAATTGTTTTTATGTGTTTTATTGTTTTTGTGTTCTGAAAGCACTTTATAACTGGTTTTTGAAAAGTGCTCTATAAATAAAGATTAGGATATCACAGTTTTAACAATGTGCTCTCAAGCTCACCAGACCAGCCGGTTTTTAGTTTTGGGTGATTTTAATTCCTGTAAATTATCTGGTCATCTCCAGATACTGGAGCAGTATGTTGACTGTCCAATGCGCCAGTCGCGAATCCTCGATCGGTGTTATGGAAATATACCTGAGGCGTACAAAGCAGTTGTACAACGTTGTTCATTTGCTTACAAAATATAAAAAGAGGGGGGAACTTTGAAGCATCACTAGGAAAAGTAAAGAAGATTATAAGAATAAGGTAGAGAAGCAACTATACAATGGTAATGCAAGGGATACCTGGAATAGTCTCAATAATAAGATGGATAGGGATGTAAGGAAGAGGAATATTTTCCCCTCTTTGTTTGCCAATGATTTAAACCAGTTTTATTGTAGATTCAATTCTGGACATAATGATATTATGTGTGATAACTTGTGCACTGATGTTGCTGACCATCCTCCAATCATACTTAATGAGAGTGTTTGTGTGTTCTTTGTCTTTGGTTTGCTGGGTGCTTGGTGTGTGTTGTCTTGTGGTTTTTCACTTTCCTGGCAGTGCTCGGGAGGCGTGTAATTCGCTGGGCGCTCACACACCTGGCTGAGGTCATCTCCACACCTGCTCCTCATCTTTCTTCAGCAGTACTTAAGGAGCAGCCACACTGGTTGTCGGGGTGCTGTCCAGCAAACGATGTGGGCTTTGTAGATCATTGGCAGACTTTCTGGGGAAGACCTGGTCTGAGATGGCATCAATCCCAATTGGGAAGGAGCAGCTCTCGTTTCTAGAAATCTGGCCAAGTTTGTTAGTTGACCAAATCCATGACAAACCAGAGTTGAGACCAGGAGGCAGAGTCGCAGTCTAACACACTTCTCTGCCCTTCTAATTCAGCAGTTACCCACCCTAAACCCTACGCAGAGTCGCAGTCTAACACACTTCTCTGCTCCTCCATTTCAGGAGTTACTTAGTGAAAATCCTATAGTGACGGTGTCTGTCCCCCAACCATTGAAATTATTTAAATCAAAGGTAAACAGAAGAGGAGCTGTGCATAAAAACCTCATAAAAATTAAAACCACAAGAGCAATAGTGCAAACGAATAGGAGAGTTAAATGTGGACTCTTAAACATCAGATCTCTCTCTTCTAAAGGTGTACTAGTAAATGAACTAATATCAGATTATGATATTGATTTATTTTGTCTTACTGAAACCTGGCTGGGTGATGGAGAATATGTTAGCCTAAATGAATCCACCCCTCCCAGTCATATTAATACTCACATTCCTCGAGGCACAGGCCGAGGAGGTGGAGTTGCAGCTATCTTCGACTCTAGCCTACTAATCAGCTCTAAACCTAAACTAAACTATAACTCATTTGAAAGTCTTGTTCTTAGTCTTTCGCACCCAAGTTGGAAATCACTGCAACAAATTCTTTTTGTTATAGTGTACCGAGCACCTGGTCCGTATTCTGAATTCTTATCTGAATTTGCAGAGTTTTTGTCAACTTTAGTCCTTAAAACGGACAAAGTTATTATTGTAGGGGATTTTAATATTCATGTGGACGTTGAGAATGACAGCTTCAGTACTGTGTTTATCTCTCTGTTAGATTCCATTGGCTTCTTTCAGAGTGTTCATGAACCGACTCACTGTTTTAACCACACCCTCGACCTTGTTCTGGTATATGGTATGGAAATTGAACATTTAATCGTGTTGCCACATAATCCCTTTTTTTCTGACCACTGTTTGATAACTTTTGAGTTTGTATTACTGAACTATACACACCAAGACACCAAGATGTCTGTCTGATAGTGCTGTAGCTCTAAATTCATTTTCAAGTCACAAAGTCAAGGAGGATGCTAATTTCAGTCCCTCCCAAATCGATCATCTTGTTGATAGTGCTGCAGGCTCGCTGCGAATGACACTTGACTCTGTAGCCCCTCTAAAAAAGAAAATAATAAAAAAGACGGTTAGCTCCATGGTATAATACTGAAACTTGCAAATTAAAGCAAATATCGCGGAAACTTGAGAGGAACTGGCATTCCACCAAACAGGAAAATTCTCGTTTAATTTGGCAAGATAGTCTTAAAACTAGTTATGTAGTTATATTACCATGTTGTTGTTGTTGTTGAAAAATAAATAAGTTAAATAAGTTAATTTTGCAGTGCTCTTTAATTTACAGCAATGATCACTGAATTTATGTTTTAACTAATGCTTTGTTCCAGCACCTTTATATACTCTCTTAAAAATGACATGATACAGAAATATTATCATGTGTTAAATAACAAATATTCCTAGCTCCTGAACTAAGGATTGTTCAATATACAATATATTGTTAAATGTAAGTAGATAATCGGAAGATCTTTTGTCCCCTCATGGAACCAGTACTCCCCCCAAATGACAAATTAAGTATTACATGTCATTGATTTAATGCATCTCCCGCGGTTTAATGTATCACTTGTATCACAATGTTTGTGTATTCTCTAAGTAAGAAAGTTTAACAGCCAATATTGTCCAGGAAGTATTTAGTCAAGATGCTCTTACATCTGCTGTGATCCCTACGAAATGTTTTAACTATTATAATGTTTAATGATTGTGTAGTGAACAACGGTGTGGATTTGTGCATTTTACATTGAATAAATTTGGAGCTACCCTAAATTCCTTTCTCCTCCCCAGAGAAGATGGGGAGGGGTCAAAGTTGCTTTCTCTAAGTGCTATCCCGACCATAAAACTGGCACCTTTTTGATTCCGAAGCTGATAACGCGGGGCCTGACTGTTAAACTGACAAAGGGACACGAGCCAGCCATTGACATCTCCCTGAACAGCCTATCAAAACTGGCCCCCCACACACATTTCCGTGGCAACTGACCTTATTCTTTGTTTTATTACCACATCAAAGGGATACTCCTTGTCTCACCTAGGTGTGACATGGTCCAGACACTGAACTGGACTGCAATATCAAAAGACTCAAAGTTTAATTAAATCTTTAGTTACCTGATTACGTTTGCCTCTATTTGAGTAGTTATGTTAACTGTTGTTGCTATCTGTCGTTTATTAGTGCTGAAAAGAAGTTACTTGTGCAGTGTTTATTTTCAGCAAGACACTCCTTCATCTAATGTAATCCAAGCTTTCCTCATGTAACCTGAGCTCCCCCAAGTGGACGAAATAAGTATTACATGCCCTCATCGGAAATGCCGTTAAATGTATAAATATCAGGATCGGGCAGCTAGCGTGGGACCCGTGCAACAGGCCAAAAGCAGGCTGTCGACAAGCAGTAAGACTTAACACACGTTCTGTGATCAGATGTCCATTTTAACTCCTAAACTATAGCATTAGTTTACTCTCATTAGTTCTTCTATGCCGTATGAGTCAAATGCTTCCCACAATCAAACCTCCAGGCTCATTGTTCAGCAAATGTTTATGTTCCCTGTATCCAACCATCTTTTTATCACCGTAGTTAGAGAATAAATTCACTGTCATATAATCAAGAGCTGTGTGTGTTGCCTATTTCTAGTTCCTGCCAAGAGAATTGACCCTTAGATATGAGACTGACTGACTGACTGATTTAAGATAATTGAGCGATTATTAACTAACTGATCACTAGTAATAATTGTATAATTATTCAAAACTACCCAGAGGTCCGGAGACTCTAGGATTATAACAACTCCGGTGGTGCCCTTAACAAGGAAATTCTGATTTTATGAATTTTAATTCATAACTGGGTATCAATTCTCATAAATTTATTAAAATGCATAACTAATAAATTTAGGTCTACTACATAATGGAGCCTGCCGTGTGAGGCCTTGTGACATACTATAATAGACTATACACACAGCCCTGATGCAGAGAAGTTATTATTGAGTCCCAGAAAAATTTTCCCTCCAAAATTTTGCCACTGAAGTAATTATCGCCCAGTAAATTGCTCCCTAGAAACTCTCCTGTCTTCCCTCTTAACTTAACGTTAGTGATGAAAGTGTGTGTGAGTTTTGACCATGTTCTTTGTTGTGAAATGAAATGCTTTGTGCAAGTTGTTTGGCCGCCGCGTCATTGTTCTTTGTTGTTCAGTACAGAGCTGTAGTGAGCTGAGCTATGAGGTTCCGAGCTAATGTTAAACTGAATGCATTCCTGTAACGTTACCATTCGAGAAATCTGAGCTAAAGCTACACACAATCTCCG